CATTGGTGTGAATTTCTCGAGGGGCAAGGTGAGCCCCCATGAGATCATAAGGAGACTCGGGGGCTCTGTGGCACGGAAAGCTGGCCACCCAGTTAGGGGACATTTTTTACCCTTGGCACCAGGGAGCCGGCTCCCAGAGACAAGCCCAGGCCTGACTTGGTGACTGTGCCCAGAGGAAATGAGGCAATGGCCCAGGAATGGCCCAGCCCTGGCACTGAGAGTGGGTCCATCCTTGTCTGAAGGCAGGTATGCTCCAGGGAGGACTGGGCAGAGGAGGAGGTTGGGTGAGTGAGAACCTGTTTGTTGAGGTAGTTTGCCTCCTGCCAAGAAGGGCAGCATCCACCTCGTCGGTGGCCTGGGTCAGGGGAATGAGGTGCCTGGGACCCTGGCACAGGGCTCAGATGGGGTCTGTCTCTATTCCATCTGGACCAAAGACCTCACCATGGTGTTGACACAGAACTCCCTGCCTTTTGTGGGGCCCAAAGGTTCTCCTTTAAAGGTCTGGGCATATTCATGACCACACAGCGTTTGGGAGGGCAGCTTTGTCCCCTGGTTCTGTCTCAATGGTGACTCAGGGTTTTGTTGAATGCCCCATTGTGGCTGGTGATGGGGACAGTGGTTCTGTGAATCTCAGAGGCGATATAACATGTGTCGTATTGTGGCAGGGGATTAAGTGTGGAAATCTTACCCACTTCTATGTAGCCTGGTGGTTTTCTGGGTTTATTTATGCTCCGCCAAATGCATAATAAGCAAGAATGACAAGTAAAGCATTACACAGAGTATTTTCCTGTTTCCCCGGCCCCTCAGGCTGCACAGACGTGCTTTTGACTGTGACATTTGCTCTGGAAGTTCTCATGCCACTGAGACTGCAGCGGTGTTTAGATCTCACCCTCGGGTTTGCAGAAAGGGCAGAAATAAAATAGAAAAATGAACATTGAGCATCCCAGCCTGCCTTTTCATCCTTTTATTCATCACATTTTTGTTAAACACCTTCTTTGGGGTGAAGGGGACCATAGTGATTAGACTCCCAGGCTCTGGATTCAGAACTACGGTGTGTGTAGGTTCAGGCTCTGCCACCTGTAGCTGTGTGACTTTGGGCAAATTGCTTAACTTTTCTGTGCCTCAGTTTCATCATGCATAAAATTGGGACAATGTAACACACCCTTCTTTCTGGGGTTATGTTGAGGATTGAGATGATCTGTGAGAGGCTCCATACTTTGCTGATTGGTGTTATGTGCTTGGCTCTAGAGATAAATGTGAGCCTAGTAATCTGATTGGGGAGATGGATGTTAATTGAATAATCATACAAATAGAAAACTACCTGTGTGGGGCCTGACCTCGGATGAGACACCAGAGAAAGCTTCCCTGAACAAGTGTGGCCAGAAAGATGTCTGCATTTACCCAGGGAAATGGAGCGGGAGGGTATTCTGGTCTGGCCAGAGGAGCTGGTGCAAAATCCCTGTGGTCCTTGGGCATGAAGGCACTTTGGACATTTGAAAGACAGAAAGGAAGCCAGTGTGGTAGGGTCCCAGGGAGCAAATAGTAGACCAGGGCCAGAACTTTGTGGGTGTGTTTAGGTTTTTACCTAATTTAAAAGCAAGGGAAAGTCACTGTGGGGCTTTAAGCAGAGGAAGGACATGATCCAATCACTTTTTGCAAATAACACTGGCTGCAGAGTGGAAAACTTCTGGGAGCAGAGCCCCATGGAAGCCATTAGGAGACCCACACCCAAGCTCCCTTGATGGGTGATTAAGGATTGCCTACATGTGAGAATTTCAGGGACTCAGGATGAACGCCAGACCCGAAGAACCACAATGGGGTTGGGCTGGAGACCTTTCAGGTGACATTGGGAAATGTTGCTATAGCTTCTATAGAAATGAAGAGAACCTAACTCCACTTCTTTTGTACTGTATTGTATTTATTTTTCGAGCCCCGCTTTAAAAGCAATTTTTAAAGAGGAAGCTCTTGGAGAGCTAAGATGGGGACTGGGTTGACTGTATATTGTGTATTTTGCCCTTGACAATATTTTGCTGGAGATGACAAAACAAAGACAAATGCAAGGACATAAGCCAAGTCAAACCAGTTAACGATGACTTTTCATCATTTATGTTCATGGCCTGCATACGGTTTTTGTGAGTGCAGGAGAGATGCCCACCCCACTGAGTAGCGCCCTCCCCTCTCTTTGATTTAACCTCATACTGACTTGGGCTGCAGGTCTCTGAGTTTTACCCTTGAGGTGTCCTACAAAATTCATGACAGAACTTGAATGGGTGAAAATACAGACTTCCGTGTTGACTGGTACCATACCAACGTGTCACAGGAGATGATGGGAGGTGAGCCCATCTCCTACCATGAAGATGGGAGTCAGAACTGATTTAGGAGGCCAGCTCTTCCGCTGGCTGCCTGTGTGACCCTAGGCAGGGTGTGGACCATCATTGTTTCTCATTGTTGTCTTTGTTGTGAAGTTTCTTGGGTTACATGAAAAGGATAGGTTCTATTAGATACCCAGCACATAGTAGATGCCAAGAAATGGCCAGTCATCCTACCTCCTCCCTACTCTCCCCTGTACACATTTATTTCCTTACCACTCTGAGTCCAATGTGGTTTGTAGAAAGAACATGGATCCTAATGGGCAGACTGGTGTGATATTGATTTGTATAGATAAGATTTTTCTACCATTTGTCCATTCATCCATCCGTCTAACTAGCCAACATGACTGAGTATCTACCAGAGACCGACTTGAGAAGCAGGAGCTGAGTAGAGCTGTACCCTCTCGCTGAACCCAGCTCTCAAGAGGCAGGAATAAATATGTCTTGAAAAAATAAAAGAGGCAGCAGCTGACAATCCAATCCCTATGTTTTTGCTTTCCACAATGACCATGAAAGTATGTCCAAAGCCAGTTTCCTCCTGGAGAAAGGGTGCTGAAGCAGTGTTGCTATCTGGCTGGGTCACCATGGGCCCCTACAGCTGGTTCTGTGTCCTGCTGGCTGGAGAAGGTGTCTGTGCTGGAGTTGGGGGCGGAACAGCACTTGCTCAGGCCTAGTGTACAGACAGAGAATGGAGTCCAGTCTCTGAGGGATCAGGTGTGCAGTGTGGAACCAACTGGGGGAACTTATTTCTCAAGCCAGGAGAGTCCTGAGGCTTAGGTTATCCTATAAGGGTCCTTTTGGGAATGAAAGAATCACAGAGCCTTGGATGATAGCTCATATCTTCCCTCATTCTTGCAAAAGGGACCTTCCAGCGTCCTGTTTGACTAAAGTCTCCAACGCTAAAGTGCGTAGGAGGCCAGATATGACCTGCAGGGGGCCCTGTTTCTGAGTGATGGCAGTTGTATTTGTCCCTTCGGGGCTGGCTTTTACCCTTAAAGTCTTGGAGATAAGCACTTAAGAAGCTAGATTCAACTCCAGCAAATCATTGTGACCAAGGACCAGATGAGGCTCCAAGGACATCAAATATCTCCTCTTCTGGGGAAGCCTGCTCACGTGGCCCTTTCTCAAGGCTCTTCACCCTGGAGGGCCCTACTAGGCCCAGTGGAAGAGGCCCTGGCCTGAGAGGCCAGGAGATGTTTCCATCCCAACTCTGCTACAAGTCCTGTGGCCCTGAATGGGTCACTTACCTTCTAGAACTTAACCTCACGTAGCCTCCACTTGGCCCTCTAATAATCAGGTTGTCCTGGAGGATGACAAAGGAACTTTCAAACAATACTACTGTATCATCTCAACCCACACATATCACCATTTGTGTTATCTTTCATATCTTTGTTTTCAGCTCCCTGCCCCGGCTAGATCTTAAAGCTCTTTGAAGGTGCGAACCCTGCCACATACCTTGGTACCTTGGTAAAATATCTAGTGGAGAACTTTTTTTCACACAGTAGGTGCTTTAAAGATCTGTTTGATTTATTGATTATATATTGGCATACTTGGAAGACCCTGACACTGAGCCTATTGATGATGACTTTTGCGACTATTTCAGAGCTGAGAACCATCATCCCAAGGGGTGGTAACTGACAGGCTGGAAACCCAGTCAAGGTGGTCAGCAGATTGGCAGGCAGTGAATGGTGCTATAGCGTGGCCTGAAAGCACCTTACTTTCTACCTGCAGTTCCTTTCGAGGACAATAATGGAAAAGAGGGACCTTAAGACAAAAGATTTCCTCATCTTCCTTCACTCTTGGAATTTGAGGCCTGCCTGAGTTCTCAGGCTATTTTTCCAATCTTTGCCTTGGCATTATGCATGACAGAAGGGCTTTTGGGAGTTGTGTCACAGTTAGTCACTACTGAATCAAGGCATTTCTGACCTCGGAAACACCCAAGTCATGTTATCTGTCGGGTCACTGGAGTTTGACCTCTAAGACAGGTATGAGATGTTTTAATTGTTGGTGTGTGTGTGTTTATAGCCGGTGTTTGTGTCCCCATGTCCTGTGTGTATATTTTTCCGCAGTGGCATGTGACTTCATGCTACAGAGGCTTTGTAAATTATGAGTTATCTACACAATTAACTTAAGCATTCACATTTGTGAATGTGGTAACAACTTCGGGCTTTCGTCTCCTGCCGATTGCAAGTTTTTGGGGTTGTAGGGTGTAGAATTTTTCCCTCAGCCAGTCTCTCAGTTCTAGGTTAACAGATTCAGTGAAATGAAAATTCAGTGAAAAAAATCAGCATTGTTTTTCTTCCACCATAGAGATGGAAGTATAGGAACTACTGTTCATTAGTCTATAGCCTCAGAAGAGTCAGCCTGTAATGAGAACCCCAACTATAATTTTTTTCAGTAGGTATTGATAGTTAGGATGTCAGGGGTATGTTGTCAATCAATAAAAAGATTTGACTTGTCAACCAAAAGAAAGATCTCTCTGGTGTTTTGAGAGGGGAAAACAATCCCTGTGTGGGTTTTTAAGAAGGACTGGAAGTTAGGCTTTATGTTTCTTATCAGGAGTCTCTGTAAATTTGTGCTGTCACCTCTTGGCTGCTGGAAGCTGTGATTGATTGTCTCTGTCTTCTATAGCTTGGAATTGCAGTTGGGTTCTTGGTCCCTCCGGTTTTGGTACCCAACATTGAAGACCGGGACAAGCTTGCCTACCACATCAGCATCATGTTTTACATAATTGGAGGCGTGGCCACTCTGCTTTTCATCCTTGTCATCATCGGTAAGGTCATTAGTACACTGATGGGGGGCCAGGAGGCAGGGAGGTTCTCCCGACTTGGGTGGGGACCTTGTGAACGTGGCTCTAGAATGCCGTGGACATTTATAGAAACTGGAGGCCAGGCTTCTAATGGTCTTCAAATATCTTAGCCAATACAGTGCTAGCTGGTCCCGTGTACTTTATTAGCTGCTCAGTAAAGGTTTAACTGTAATTAACCAGTCCCCCAATAAAGCCTCATCAGAATTAATGGGCAGGCTGCTGGTCCTCTTGTTGAAACCCCACTGAGTCCTTATAATATATATCACAGATACTTTGCTAATCGTGCCTGACCCCCTTAAATCTGCAACAGTCCTATGAATGAAGGTAATCTTATCAGTCCCATTTAACAAAGTGGGGTGCCTGGGTGGCTCAGTCGGTTAAGCATCCTACTTTGGCTCAGGTCATGATCTTGCGGTTCGTGGGTTCGAGCCCTGCATCGGGTTCTGTGCTGGCAGCTCAGAGCCTAGAGCCTGCTTCAGATTCTGTGTCTCCCTCTCTCTCTACCCCTCCCCTGCTCATGCTCTGTCTCTCTCTGTCTCAAAAAATAAATAAACTATTAAAAAAAGACTAGATAGCTAGTAAGTGGCAGAGATTAGATTCAAGCCTAACCTTGTCTATGTCTAATCCCATACTCTAAATTTCTGAAACAAAACAAAATAAAACAGAATTGATCCACAAACACGAATACTCTCATAGATTCATGTGAGAATGCCTGGGGACCACATTTTTTGAGGCTTTAAAAAAATTATAAGATGGGGCACCTGGGTGGCCCAGCCGGTTAAGTATCTGACTTTGACTCAGGTCATCAGCTCATGGTTCGTGGGTTTGAGGCCCGTGTCAGGGTCTGTGTTGACAGCTTGGAGCCTGGGGCCTGTTTCAGATTCTAATGTCTGCCTCTCCCCTGCTCACATTCTCTCTCTCTGTGTCTCACTCTCAAAAATAAATAAAAAAATAAAGATAAAAATTTTTTTAAAAAAATTTGAAAAAAATAAATTATAAGAGGAATACATGCTCATTATGGAAAAATCTAGAAATAAAAAAAAAGCATAAAGGAAAGAGTAACCACGGTGCCTGGCTGGCTCAATTGGAAGAGCATGAGACTCTTGATCTCAGGGTTTGATTCATGACCCCTAGATCAAGAGTCATATGTTCAGGGAGGCTGGGTGGCACAGTTGGTTAAGTGTCTAACTTCTGCTCAGGTCATAGTCACATGATTTGTGAGTTTGAGCCCTGTATTGGGCTCGCTGCTGTCAGTGCAGAGTCCACTTCAGATCCTCTGTCCTCCCCTCTCTTTGCCCCTCCCCTCTCATGTGCTCTTTCTATCTCTCTCTCAAAACTAAATAAACATTTTTTTTAAATTAAAAAAAAAAGTCATATGTTCTACTGACTGAGTCAGCTAAAGCACCTCCTTCAGGGTCATGAGTTTGAGCCCCACATTGTAGGTAGACTTACTTAAAAAATCAAACTAATAAAATAGGGACACCTGGGTGGCTCATTTGATTAAGTGTCCAACTTCAGCTCACGTCATGATCTCACGGTTTGTGGGTTTGAGCCCCACATCGGCCTCTGTGCTGACAGCTCAGAGCCTGGAGCCTGCTTCAGATTCTGTGTCTCCCTCTCTCTCTGCCCCTCCCTTGCTCGCACTCTGTCTTTCTCTTTCCAAAATAAAATAAACATTAAAACATTTGTTTCAAATAGGTAAAATAAAATAAATGATTAAAATTAAAAAAGAATAAAATGAAAATGAAAAATGAAAAAAGAATAACCCTTAATTTAGCCTCACAAGTACCAACCTCAGATAACTACTATTAGTTTTATGTGCAGGTACATTTAATCACAGAAGTATTGGTTAATACATTTTATAATCTCTTTTATCATCTGAGTGATATTCCATGTGCTGTCATAAATTCAGAAAGAGCACAGTGGAGGCTTTCATTTTCAGTTAGTCATTCTTCTTTAAAGGTTAACCAGCTAACATTCCACCTCACGTGATGAAAGTTTCATTCTTTCCTGCCATTCTCACTTCCAGAGTCAAAACCGTTTTATAATTGTGTAGCTCATTCACATGTTCTCTTTGAGGCATTCTCTCCCTGGGGTCCAAGATGAGAAAATCTGATGTCCGATGGTTTTTCAAAGCTGGTGGGGTATCCTGGGCAGAAGACTTGGTGTTTCTGGGAAGTCGAGAAGCTACAGGGCTGTGGGTGGTGGCAGGAAAGGACAGTGCGGTCTGGGCCCCTCTTACTCAACCAGACTTTAAGTGTCAGATTATAATGTGCCCAGCTTCAGGTGCTTGTGTTTGTAGCAGATGAGGGCCTGGTACTTTGCATGTGAAGTCCTGGAGGTAGGACATTTCTACATTTTCGCCTTTTAGTATCAGCCAGGCAGTGGCTCATGGAGTCAGGAGTTGAAAAATCTGATCTGAGGGGCGCCTGGGTGGCTTAGTCGGTTGAGCGTCCGACTTTCGCTTAGGTCATGATCTCGCGGTTTGTGGGTTCGAGCCCCGCGTCGGGCTCTGTGCTGACTGCCAGCTCAGAGCCTGGAGCCTGTTTCACAGTCTGTGTCTCCCTCTCTCTCTGACCCTCCCCTGTTCACGCTGTCTCTCTCTCTCTCCTAGAAATAAATAAAAATATTAAAAAAAAAAAAAGAAAAATCTGATCTGAATTCTGGTTTGCGGCTGCCAGTTCTTTAACAAACACCTGCTGTTGCAGAGAAGAAATCACCTCTTGCCTTGTGTTCTTTTCTCTGCTGCAAGGGGAGGTAAACGGGCAAGACAATGGGTGAATGGCTTCTAATGGCAGGAAGTTATCCGGGACTATTTCTGGAGAAGGAAGAAGCAGGGCTCTGAAGTTAGGGCTGGAAAGTGTTCTGGGCAGGGACTTTGATCTTCAAGAGAGTAAGCCTCAGTTCCAGAGCTTCCTCTAACGAGTTAGGAGCCGTCTCATGGCGTGTGGGGGAGGCTACACGCAGCTTGCCTGGATGCAGCTGGTGGGCCAGTATAGCCAAACAACTGGTTAAACTTCTCTGCCCCCAGAGAACTGAATAGCGATCAGTGCTGTTAAATTGACTGTACCCGCTGTGCTGAAAATTGGATGTACAATGAACGGCTTTCCCACCGTCCCTCTCCAGTCCTTCCTGTCATGGTGACCAGTCCTGCAGGGGTGGATGGACTTAACCCTCCGGTCTCTTCCAGGGGGGCACATGTCAGATTCAGACTCCGACAAACTAGGAGTGGACTCGAGGTTCTCTCCACGGAAGAAGATCTTGTCACTTATTCAGGGAATATTTATTGGCCACCATATGCCAGGCTCTGTGCTAAGCACGGGAAACACGGTCCCTTCTGCCTCGGGAAGGGCTGCAGTGCGAAGCCATTCACTGGGCTCCCTAATCCTGAAGCCGCAGCTCTCACTTCCTTTCTCCCCGTGTATTTCTAGTCTGTTCTTTTCAGTGCTCTGCTGTGTGTTATTTGCTGCTTCTTATGGGACTCCTTGATCTTGAATGCTGTGTGGGAGGCCCAGGGAGTGTCGCCCTCCAGAGGCCATTAAGAAAAATCATCAGAGGACCACTCAGAAGGCCGGAGCACAAACAGCTTCAAGAACATAGGTGTTGAGGGGTACCTGGGTGGCTCAGTCGGTTAAGCGTCCGACTTTCGCTCAGGTCATGATCTCGTGGTTCGTGGGTTTGAGCCCCGCATCGGGCTCTGTGCTGACTGCCAGCTCAGAGCCTGGAGCCTATTTCAGAGTCTGTGTCTCCCTCTCACTCTGACCCTCCCCTGCTCACGCTGTCTCTCTCTCTCTCTCCTAGAAATAAATAAAAATATTTAAAAAAAAAAAAAAGAACATAGGCGTTGAAGGATTTAACTGAAGGATTGATATTTCCTTTTTGTGTCTTTGATTTTTCTCAGATGAGGGAGCCAGCTCTTGTGCTTGCGTTGTTGGCTCTGCGGGGGTGGGGCTACAAGGATTCGCTGTGATCTCTCTGTGTCTTTCTTTTCAGTGTTCAAGGAGAAGCCTAAACATCCCCCCAGCAGGGCCCAATCCCTGAGCTATGCCTTGGCCTCCCCTGATGCGTCGTACTTAAGTTCCATCGTCCGGCTCTTCAAAAACCTCAGCTTTGTGCTGCTTGTCATCACCTACGGTAAGGTGCACAGGTGTCCAGGAATGTCCTGAAACAAGAGGCCTGATGTGTCTGTGTGTCTTACTCTTTCCAAATCCCAAATGTGTATGTAAAGTCGTTGCTTAGGCTCAACCAAAGGAGTAAGCTGTGCCTCAGGGCCTTTGCATATTCTGTAAAATTTATCTAGAAAGCCATTCCTCCCCACATCAGATTGTCTGACAAAAATGCCTGCTGATCCTCCAAGTATTACAGCTATAAAGCAGTATTAGGTGACCTTTACCTCTTTTATTGTGCTGTTCCTGGTACATCTTAACACTTACCATTAAAAAAACAAAAAACAAAGAAACAAAAACATTTCCGGGGGCCTGGGTGGCTCAGTTGGTTGAGAGTCTGACTCTTGATTCCAGCTCAGGTCATGATCCCAGGGTCATGGGATCGAGCACTGCATCAGGCTATGTTGAGCGTGGAGCCTGCTTAAGATGATTCTCTCTCTCTCTCTCTCTCTCTGTCTCTCAATCTCTCTTTCTCTCTGCCTCCCTCTAGCCCTCCCCCACTTCTCTCTGTCTCTCTAAAATAATAACAAAATGTTAAAAAGAACATTTCCAGGTCTGTCTTTCCACCTGTGAACACCCTAGGAGTGGGGATGTATGGCTTTTTGTCTTTATAGTTCCTCAGCAGTGGCCCCCTGGTGGGGATACTCTAACAGTTATTGAGTGAGTGAATGAAGGAATGAAGAATGAATGAGTGCATACGTGAATTTAGCCATATGAACCACTCTTCCATCAACCCTCCTTCATCTTGTAACACCGACTCCCTTTTTTACCTGAATGAAAGACAATACCCTTCTTTCATTCTGCGTTCTTGGCTCTTGGTCAGATACATTTGCACATTTATGCTGGTGTATTGGCTTGCCTTTCCTTTTTTTCTTTAAGTTTATTTATTTATTTTGAGAGAGAGAGAGGCAAAAGGAGAGGGAGAGAGAGAGAATCCCAAGCAGGCTCTGTTCTGTAGGCCCAGAGCTCAACTTAGGGCTCAGTCTCACAAATGGTGAGATCATGACCTGAGCCGAAATCAAGAGTCAGACATTTAACCAACTGAGCCACCCAGGTGCCCCGGCTTGCCTTTCCAACATGGTGTTTTCTGTGGCTTCTTTCCAGCCTTTACTAAGAACAGAGGACCAGGCAAGGGCAAGGGCAGAGCTTCGTGGCATTCCATTAAAGAGGGTCTTTACAGGCCCATCCAGCCACGCTGTTGTCCAGCCTCCATTTGACCATTTAATCTACTAGTTCGTTCGATTAAAATCAAGAGTCAACAGGTGTGCAACATGCTTAGTCACCATGAGAAAAAAAGAAATGAGGTTTGACATAAGTTATGCTTAGTGAAATCCCAGCTGGCAATAACCTTAGGTTTTCTGACGGCCCGCAAACCTTGAATTTTGTAACAACAACAACCATTTACTATGTGCCAAGACCTTTCGTGTATGATTTCATTGAACTCCTGTCATCTCCCCATTTAACAGATGAGAAAGCTGAAATTCAAGACAGATTAGCTAAGTAGCTCAAGAGCACACATCTTTGGATTGTCAGAGTCAGGATTTGAAGACAGGTTTATCTAACTGCAAAGCCTACCTGCCCAACGCCTATACCCATTTCTAGAATTGTGTCAGAGTTTCCTGTTAGACTTATTATGTTCTTTATCTAAATTAGAGTGCTTATCTGCTGAGGCACTAGATAAGGGGTAGTACCATCCCCAGTAGAGGCACATACCCGTTTTTCAGGCATTCACAGAAATCAGTGTTCTCTCATCTGGAAACGTGCTAGATGAGTCTTCAAGGCCTCAGGTCTCCATTTCTCATTCTCTCCAGCTTTTCAGTTCTGCATATATCCCTGACTTCACCCACCATATAAAGACAAAGTGTCCAGTACTTAAGATGTCCAACTAAAGAAGTTGTATGAGTTGCCCATCACTGGCAAGTATTCAAGTGTAGATGGCACCAATCGCTTAATGGGGATATTGTGGGGAATATCAGGCTGTATAGATGGATGGTAAAACCAGATGACCTTTGGGATCCCTTTCATACTCAGGATTCCATGGCTCCAAGAACTTTCACTTTTCCTCGAGTTCAACATCTCAAGTGTGTTGACCTTTGACTACCATAAACCTTATGGCACCTGACAACAGGGTATTTGAGGCCTACCTTGGGATTCTAAGGCAGATGAGTGGTTAATAAATATTTTCTATGGAAGAGGATGATGATGGTGGTGATGGCTGGGCAATGATCCCATTCTAGAGGCTGGGGACCAAAACAACTCCTCCTCTTCCCCTCTTGCATGGTTGGTTGCTTGTATGGTCTTTCGTTTGGCAGAGTGGTTTTAATCCAGTACTTCTGGACACTCATCTGTTGGGTTAAATGATCACACAGGAAATAAATAAGGAAGCCCTTCTGGAATGGTGGAGTGAGGAGTTTGGATAATTTGTTCTTCCATAAAGTAAGAAGTACACTGGCAAACATTGTGAAAATCAAAATTTCAGAACTCTTAAACAAAGGCTTGCAACAACCCAAGAGCCATTGTTTAAGAAAAACATGGCCAAATACTGGTAAGAACAGTGAGCTTTGTGTTTTAAATTGCCCTATTCTAGTCTGCCTCTCCCAGCCTCCCTGGTTGCCATGACAACCAGCAGCCTCGCAGCCACTAGTAGTTGTGAAACACAGTAGCCTCACAGTCATGGTAGTTGTGAGAACTGAGAACCAGCAGCCTCACAGCTACTGGATGGGGCAAAAACAATTTTGGAGCTCTCCCTAAAACTCCATCCGTAGGTGATTATTTGATATCTGACCGTTCCCGAGGAGAACCCCGGTCAGAGGACTTGCCTTCATTGAACCTGACTCAGAGCTTGTTCTGTGCGAAAAGGGCTATGTCCAGGGCATTTGTTGAAAATGATCACTGTTTAATATCACAGCTGCCTAAGGTCATAATACCAGTTGGGGTAAATGGGAGGCTGGCCAAAATTCTTGAAAGGAAGATCTAGAGAATGAGATGTTCATAGGGGCTTTGAAAACCTCTGACATATTCTTAGGAATGTAGAAATCCACAGGCACATGTCCAAGAAAGACCTGAGAAAGCCCTAAACTCTCACCTGTGGCCAACCTCAAGGCTCTACCCAAGGAGGAAGTGAAGGCTAAGGCAGAGTTGTCACCTGCCTGCCTGTGGAGCACTGAAGGAGAGCTGGCCCTCGCACAGAGGATGTCCTGGGCAAAGGTGGGGACTAATTCGTTTAAGGTATTGAAGAAAATCTCTGTCCAATCATTAGCTTACTATGAAATTGATGGAGCAGAAACTTCAGTGGCTGTACATGACAAAGAACACACACTTTACAAAATCAGTCCAGGAAAGTCACTAAACAAACAGCAGCAACAATAAATCCAAGGGATGATGTGCAAGGGAGGCACATCTCATTCCCAGAGCTGATATGGTATTTAAAATGTCCATTTTAAAATAATATAAAAACAGGGAGGGAGACAAAAACACAAGAGACTCTGAAATATGGAGAACAAACAGGGTTACTGGAAGGGTTGTGTGTGTGTGTGGGGGGGGGGATGGGCTAAATGGGTAAGGAGCATTAAGGAATCTATTCCTGAAATCATTGTTGCACTATACACTAACTTGGATGTAAATTAAAAAAATAAATTAAAAAAGAAAAGAAAAGAAAAAATGTCCAGCTTTACCTAAAGACTATGAGACATATGAGTATGGCCCATACACAAGATTGGGGGGTGGGGGTTTACAAAAACAGTCCATAGAAGCTGTTCCTGAGGAAGCCCAGATGTTGAACATAATAAAGATTATAAATCAACAATATAAATATGTTCAAAGAACTAAAGGAAACCATGCCTAAAGAATGAAAGAAAAGTGAAAAATCCTGTCTTAGCAAGAAGAGAATATCAATAAAGACAGGAGTAAAAAGAACCAAATAGAAATTCTGGAGAATTCTAGAAATAGAATACACTAACTGAAATGAAATATTCACTGGAGAGCTCACAATCAGGTTTGAGCTGGCAGCAGAAAAAAAATCAGTGAACCTGAAGATAGATCAAATGAAATGATCCTGTTTGAGGAACAGAAAGAATGAAGAATGAGGAAAAATGAGCAGAGTCCCTGAGTCCTGTGGGAAACCATCAAGCAAACCAACATATGCATAATGGGAGTCCCAGGAAGTGAGGAGAGAGAGGTGGAAGTAAATTGTCATTTACACTGAGATCATGCTAATGCAGAAAAACAATTCACTTCTGAGTCTTTGGGAGCATTTGATTCCATTGTGTATTGATAGAATTTATTAACTTTTTAAAAAAAATATTTTTATTTATTTCTAGGAGAGAGAGAGAGAGACAGCGTGAGCAGGGGAGGGTCAGAGAGAGAGGGAGACACAGACTCTGAAATAGGCTCTAGGCTCTGAGCTGGCAGTCAGCACAGAGCCCGACGCGGGGCTCGAACCTATGAACCGCGAGATCATGACCTAAGTGAAAGTCGGATGCTTAACCGACTAAGCCACCCAGGCGCCCCATAATTTATTACCTTTTTAAATCAAAGGCTGAGGGTAATTCCAGTGAGAGGGAGTAAAACTGATCTGGATGTTTGCATATATGCTCATTTCATTATAGTCAGAAAACTACAAGCCTTTTTTCCATGGTAGATTAATTGGACTTGGTGACAAGGCTCTCGGCCAACAAGGAAATGATTGTTAACCTTAATCACAGATTTGGAAAAAAATTTTATTGAGCTATTACTGTGTGTCAAGGCATGATGTTAAGTCCATTACTTGGATTATCACATTTTATCTTCAGAACAAACGCATGACATAGGTTCTTAACTCCATGGCATTTTTATACATGAGAAAACTGAGGCTCTATTTAGTTTCTTGCCCACAAATGGACAGCTAGCCAGCGACAGAACTTGGATTTTTTTTTTTAATGTTTATTTTTGAGAAAGAGAGAGATTGAGCAGGGGAGGGGCAGAGAGAGA